AATTAAAGGAGAACGAGTTAGGACAGGGTGACTGAGAGGTGAACCCCAAACTCACATCAGTTTACAAAACAAGGCAAACCCTTGCTTACACACCAATTAAGGATATTGTTGATGAGGCTTAAATAAATTAATAGAAGGAGGAAAAAAATGTGCTTTTTTGTACAGGCAGGCTATTGAAAACCATGTCTGAGATGCACATATTTTTATTTATTGGGAGAAAATATTCCAATGGTCAGTCAAGGTCTGCTGGGGCTTCATTGAGAGGCCCCTGGAGCCTCTTCCTGCAAGGACCACACCTAAAAGAGGCAGAAATGTGAATTATCTGGAACAAATGGGAAGAGGATGCCCTGGGTGGGAAGGAGAAGATTGGGCACCTCACCAAAAAAAAACCAACCCAAAAAACCCCATGTGATACCTCACTAATTACACCTGGCAATAAAATTCTGCTCCAGTTCAAAGGCAACATTTAAGGCACAGAACTGAGCTGCTTTTAATTTCTGTGATGAGCAGAACGAAACCATCAATGCTTTTGTCATGGTTAATAATTTCCTTTTAAAAGTTCCTTATAATTGAACAACTGCTCTAACATTTCAGGGGAAAAAAGGAGTTTTGGGAACACATTTTGAAGAAAGGGGAGCTCTTGCACATTCTTGATGACTTTTTACGTGTTTTTTTAATATTGCTGATGGTTTTGACTGGGATAGAGTTAATTTTCTTCACAGCAGCTGGTGTGGGGCTGTATTTTGGAACTAGAAACAGAATTGATAATTCAGGGGGGGTTTTCTCATCACTGAGCAGCCCTTACACAGAGCCAAGGGTTTTCTGCTCCTCACCCCATCCCACCCTGAGTCCTGAACCAATTTTCAACATCTCCCAACTAAAGCTGATCAACAATTATTTCTGAAATGCTTTTTAACATTGTAAGTTCTACAAAATATCAGCTGTTATACAGCAGTTACATTGATATAAACAAAATTCTGGCTGCTTTCAAAATTAATAACAGTACCTACTGTTTGAAACACAAATAATTTCTCTAAGGAAAGGTTGAATTTGCATAGAAAACTCCCTGAAGTTACCACTTGTTACTGTTCAGTAAATAGTCCCCAAGAAACCTGCTTTTAAGAGAAAAGAATGCAATTTTTCTTTCTTCTCTGCAATTATCCCAGTCACAGATTTGTCAGTCTAATAATTTTTCCCCCCTGATAAACTCAATCAGAAGGTACCATATGAGCATCTTCATTATCAAAACCAAATTTTTCCAGAGCAAAACATTTAAAGGTGAGATTAAATTTCAAGCTGTAATTTCTTTCTAACTTGCTGTCCATTCTCACATCCATTTGCATTTCTCCTGAGCTCTTTCTGCCCCATTTAGCAGCAGTTCAGGAATTCTGACACTCACCCCATTCTCAAAACATCTTTAAACTCCTGCACAAACAGATCTTACAAAGTTTTTTAGCAATTCTTGCAGAATTGCTCAGAAGAGGAAAACTCAAAGCTTGTCCTGGTTCTGTAGATGTTCACCTTTAAGCATTAATGCAAAGCTCAATCTATTTTTTTGTTCTTTGAATCTCAGGTTTCAGGAGGTGTGAGGCATATTCAAATAGACCATCGACATCAATATGAAAAATAATGACTTCCCAAAGGAATTTGAACATTTGCCTCATTGACATCCAGCACCACAAACTAATAATCTTTAAAATGTAAATAAGACCTGAGTTTTTACCTCTCAGGTACCCCATGCAATCAGCAGCCAGTACAGAAACTCAAAAAGACATTTACAAAATAACATGTAACTCGTAATAAGCTTAGAATGGATTTGTGTTTATGCCAAAGGACGTGGAAGGAAGACAAACCAACCAGAAAAGCACAGAATCATTAGAAAACCACAGCAAAAGCAACCTCTGGAATTATACCCTGCACCAGTGAAATGAAACACCAGCTCAAGGAAAGCCAGCAGAACCTCCTGCTCACACTAGAACACAGCAGTGTGAATAAAACCAGGAAATCTTTTATGGGAAAAGCAGGAATATCCATCAACCTCCAGCACAGACCTTCACCTGCATTCGCTTCATCTGCAGTAGGGGAGGATGTTCATCTGTCTTCAAAACAATTAATTCAACCCTAATTGGGACTGAGAAAGCTCATTCAGTCTTTTACCCGAATACTGGTGGTTAAAAGGTGCTTTTAATTGCCATAGTAATCAGATATAATGAAGAGCAGAACTGTTTCTGATTAAATAACATTTGCATCAGAATTGCTGTTAGACACTCTGCAGCTCCCAGGAAGCTGAATTCCCCAATTCTTTTTCTCTCCCTACTTCAGACATGCATGCAGAAGCAAAGCTGCAAGAATTTTGCAGATGTTGAATCAGATGGAAGTCATGACAGACTTCTCCAAATTCACCTCCCATAAGGAGAGAGAATTATTCATGATCTGAACTGTGAAACTTCTGTAGGTGTGTGCACAAGGCACAAACCTTTCTGTGCCTCCAAACTTCACCAGGAAACCTGGACTTTTCACCTAATGCTACCAATCTTGATAGCTTTTTGCAATATTCATTTTTATAGGGTTTTTTTTTTAAATATTTTTGCATTCATCTTTAAACATTTTGGAATGTTCAGCAGGTTTTTTATCAGTTTGAATGCAGTGTTTGTGGGCAGCTCAGTTACACAAAGCACAAAACACCAAACTGAGTAAAGTGGTCTTCAAAACACTGGCAAAGTCTGAGTTACCTCATCACCAGGAAATATTCAGAACAGCTCTTAATTCTGGCCACACTCTGGATTTCTACAGTTACACCAAGAAACAGATATTAATTGTAAGTTAATTAATTATAACTAACCTAATCTGGATTCTCCAGTGACCCGAAAAAAGTGGTCACTGAATAGTCAGAAAACAGGGAAAATACTTATTATTATAATACTTATTATAGAGCTGCCAAGAAGCTGGAAAATGCAGGAAGCCAATTGCTCTGAGCACAAAGGCTGCAGCACTGAGATCAAATTTGACTCTGGGAGATGCAGAGAAAGAGCTGAGAGGGGGTGAGGTTAAAATGAGCCTTTGGGTGAAAATCACCTTGTCCAAGTGACAGCTTGAGAGGACATCTGCTCCTTCCCCTAAGTCTGCTGTGTCACATTCACTTAGACAAATTTACAAAATATTTTTATAAGCAGCAGTGAGCACACAGAAGTAGCTGCATCGAGAAAAAAATTAGTTATTTGGCAAAATTAGTCAGTTGAATTTCAATGTCATGGAATGCAGTGGGGATGGAGGTTTAGCCCTCCTCCTACCACAGCAGCAGAGTTGTAATAAGTGAAATGGATATTTTAAAATATTTACAAATTGGAAAAAAAGTATTTTAGAAGTATTAAACTGACTTTGTGTCACAGTTTTTGTGATGTTTACAAACATCAGTTATTTAAGTGGCAGTTTTGGTGCACTGGGCCATGTAAAGACATTCATATATTTGCATTTTCATTAAGAGGTGACTACAACACAAAATTAAACTTCAGTTGTAGCATTTAATAGGAAAAGACTTCCATGATGGAAAGCAAAATGCTGCCAGTGAGGCACCTCATGAGAGTGGTGCCCCCTCACCTGCTGGAAAAGGATGCAGAAAAACAAAGGTGCTGCTCTCAGGACTGAGCTGAGGCAATTTTGGAAGTTTGAACTTAAGATTGAGAGCTCCAGCCCTTAACCACAGCCCAAATCACTGACAACAGCATCCACTGACAACAGCATCCAAGTGTTCCAGCATTTCCACTCCTTACAACAGCTCACAAAACAGCCTGGCTTGCATTGTCTCGAGTGGTGGTTCAAACAAACCCTCCTGGCACAGGGAGGGTGATGAAGGGATATTGAGCTGGTTCTTACCCCACTCACAGAAAAGTGCTGCCATTTTTTTCTCAGGTGAAAGATATTAAAGAAATATTAATCATATGCTTGAAAGAATAGATTAGAAAAGTCTCCTTAGAAACCTTCACTGGTTTAACTTCACAAAGAAAATGTATTTATGCATCCCCTGTGTTTAAATTTTACATTTTGTTTATAGCTATAATGAAATTAGACTAATCTTTAAATGATCTGATAATAGAGTTGTCATCCACAGAAAAGAATTTCTGCTACAGAATATTCCATGCAGAGTCAGTGCCAGTTCAAGCAAGGCCAGAGATAACAGGATTTGTGCTCCCATTGCAGCATTTTCCCCTGTTAAATGGATAACAAGGACAGGTGTTTTTATAGCTGGGTCAGATTAGCAGATTAATGCAAACTCATAGAAACTGAACAAAAACCTGCAAGTAATCTCTTGCCTAAATCCACTTTTACCTCTATTTCCTTTCTGGAGCCAGGTAAAGAATCAAGGCTCTATTTTACAACCTTCTGGAAATGTGCACAGCATCAATCTCAAGCCCACCCCATTCCTTCTGTTTCCTGCCTTGCTCTCTCTCCTCCTGTGAAACTCGAGATTCTCCCAGCTGACAAGCTCAACACATTGCTTTCTATCCTGCTGAAATGTCACTCTGCACTCAGGCTCCGAGCTCAAGTAGATTTTCCAGCTCCTAAGAGGACTACTGGGAGAACATCCATTCTACCCCAGACCCCCAAGCCCAAAAAGAACGACATTAATTGCCACAATGCCTTGATTATAGAGGTGTTTACAGAATGGAATTAACAACAAAGCAAGGAAGATGCTTCTTCTCAGAAGTCAATCCGTACGAAAAAAATAATCAATTAAGTGCTACAAATGCAAAAAAGCCAATAATTCACAACAAAATGCCTCAAAATGAACATTACACCCATTAAGTGGCAGAAATGGGATGACATGAGCAGGTAGGCTGAAACAAATCAGAATTTTCCATTTTGAAAAGTGAACTTACTCCAGCTTTCGGAACAGCCAGCAAGTATTGCTCATGTTGATGAGAAATACCCTTCAATTTATTACTCCTGACTTGGTTTTGCCTTTTTTAATGATAATCTCTCAGCTAAAAACTCTGCCTTACCTTTGTTCATATCAATCAACTGCTGCTTCTTCTTCTGTCTCTCCAGCCTCTCGCGCTCTGCCTTCTCCTTGGCCAGCTTGGCTCTCTTGGTTTTCTCCTCCAATTCTCTTCTTTTGTTGTTTTCTTTTAATGCCTCCTGCATTAGAGGAAATGAATATCAGTGTCTGTATGCTGAGGAAAACCAAAATAACCTGGTTTGCACAGATATTGTGTTTATATGAAATGAGAGGAGAGAAAAACAACAGGTACTTGTCCCAGAACTTGGAGCACCCTCAGAAACCCTGGAGGGAACAAAATGTACCACATTATTTGTACACATCAGCATTATTGACCAGAGCAATGGAAACTGAAATAGCTTTGCATTTATGATGAAGGGAAAAAGGAACTTTTTTCAGCAGCAGCATGTTTGTATTTTTCCCTAATAAGATTGCAAGTCTGCCTTACACCTGTGCCATGCTCTTAGGAGGGATGAGTGGGGAGGAAGCCAAGTTTCCACTGTGATTGAAATTCAATTACAAGTGACTGAAACTCAGGTGCTAAAATTTAAATATAATTCATCAATATTTTTTGTTGAAATAGCCAGTCTGGATGACTAAAATACAGGAGAAGAAATGGAAAATAGCTGTATTTTTAGATCATGACTAAAAAGTCTCTGAGGTAGCAGCTTACACAGACTAGCAAATTAAAAATCCAAAACTCCCAAAACACAGAACATTCATTCAAGCAAGGGGCAGCATGTTTCAGTGAGCCATTTCAGGACTTTCCTGAGGTCAGACACCACATCCCAGCCCTGGTTTGCAGAGACACCAGGTGCTGCACCAAGAACTGCACTCCTGCCCCACCCCAGCTGCACCAGCAACACCCAGAACTCCTTTTCTTTCAGAAATAAGGGAACTAAGGGGCAAACCCAATGTCCAAACCCTTCTGGTTTTGGACAGTTCTGTTCCTGCACGTTCAGAGATTTCATTCTGCTGCAGCTTCCCAGGCTGTAGTGGAAGGAAACACCTCCAGTCTTGGGAGATAAAACAAATATGAATTGTCATGGTTGTGCTGGAAGCTCACCAGTCACTGACAAACTGGCATTAGAGCACAGATTCCATCACTTTTACTACCAGGACTGAACTAAACAAGCTCTGGAGTTATTTCATCTGGAAATTCTCTTTCAGCTCAACTGTATGAGTTCTAGCTGAAGGAAGATTCTGTGGAAATTCAGGCTGCACTTCATAAAACACAATGGATACCAACAGTGATTAGAAAAAACAAAAAAATCCATTCAAAATAAAGGTATAAACTTCTTGAAGAACAGCAAGGTAACAAAATACTGATAATTCTGTGTGAATTTATCTACACCCCTGGAATATGCTTGCTTGTTCTTACCCTCCATCAGGCAGTTGGACTCTTAACCATTCCATATTTGCCATGTCATTTACTGCTATACATTTAGTCAGATGAAAGCTGGAAATAAATCATTGGCAAGAACATACTCCCACCTGCTATCAAAGGCAGTGCAGAAAGCAAAATAAATCTATACTCATCTATATTTATAAACATACTTTAGATTTGAATTAACATTGCTAACAAATTTGATCACGGTTTCTCAAAACTGACTGATGATTAATGTAAATAAAGAGAATTTTGACCCAGGTGTACAGTGGTTTCTCTACAGCATTTGCTCTGCCTGAATTATATCAATCCTTTCAGTTTCATTTTCTACAGTTCTACTGCCAAAGGTTATTTTTCTCTCTCAAGGCATGATTTCACACTCCCCCAGACCTCTTCTCTCCCAAACATTTGAGTTGCAGTGGATTTCTTCTAATACAGAACAGTGCTATTCCAGATTAACAGGTTTTTTCCAACTATCAAATGCCAGTGATTTTTTTTTGTTTTACAGGCTTAATTGCCTGAAAAGGTAAAGATCAGCTTGAAGGCTGAAAAAAAAAAAAAGCTGTGCAATTGGCATTGCTTTTGAAAGCAAATAAAAATCAGGAGTTTTGTTACTGCAGTGTAGTTCCACACAGAACTCACTGCTGTTCACAGGGATCTACCACACAACTGAACTTACTCTGCAATTAAAACTAAACTAATCTGACAGTTATAAATCAGACAAAGAAGCAATCCTCTGGTAAGAATAAAAGCCTTCTCAAGTGCTTTAGAACACATTTTGGATGTACTCATCAAGATGCTGTCTTCTGAAAACTTGCAAGTGCATGCAGAAAGGGAAATAATTTTTGAGTGAATCTCAGCAGACAGAAATATTTAAATGCCTAAAACCCTTTTAGTGACGTGCTTTTCATGACCCTTTGTTATTTTGGTTGGTGCATAAGGGCAAGCAGTTTTGCTAATTCAACAGCAAATTAAAAGTTAGAGAAAGTTTGAGTGTGGGTTTGCTTTGTTATAATAAAAAGAAAACCGAATTATTGTCTCTCTTAGCAGAGATCTAGATTCAGGAAGGAATATTATCTCTTTTTAAGTGAGTTAGTTGAAGAAGCACATAGTTTGATGTTCCCCCTTGTGTTTATTAGGATTCACTGAAGTGCAGCTCTGGTACTCAGCACTGCCAGTTTACAGCTTGGCTTCCTTAAGAAGCAAATAAAAAATTAATGCATCTCTTGCATTCTGTACATATCTTAAGTTTTGACAGACAAACATATTCACACATCGACACGGTTGTAAATAGGCTCTCGGAGGTAAATTATTAAAAACAAGAAGAAAGAAAACAAACTGTAACGCACAAATCTCTCTGGATATTAAAGATGCAGCTGGCTACAAAGTGGTCATGCACCAATAATGAGGGCTGCCTCTCATCCCTCAGGCCTCCCCCAAATTTGCCTTGCAACTGCAAAATCTGTCAGCTGAAGTTCCAGCAAAATAATCTGCTTCGGTCATAAATCGTTAGGAACGACAAACTCAGATTAACCGGAAATTAATCTACAGCAATTCAGAGTTAAAGCACAGCAGACTGAGCAATCAGTTCACATGTAAAAGGAAGATGTTTCATGGGTGTTCCTTGGAGGATAACACATTTAAATACATTGTTATCCCCACGAAAATAATGGAAAAGAGAGGTAAGGAGCTGGTATTAACCAGGAGCAGACAAATTGAATTGCTGCTGGCAGAGAGGCTTTGGGACAGGGGCTCCTGCAGCAGTGACACCAATGTCACCTTGCCAAGGGCAGCTGCTGCTGCCTGGGCAGGGAGAGAGGGCTTTGCTGCTGGCATGCAAAAACACTTCCAACTGCCCAGGCAGAAGAGGCTTGCAGTGATTGCTAAACCAAATTTCACACTAGCAATGAAAAGCTGCACGGTATCACTTAATTACTCAGGTGTGTAAGTTGGAGTCATTATTCAGTAGCCCTTGAGTGGACAGGTTTGGGTCTGTTTTTCCAGCTCCCTTCAATCAATATTTGGAAACCACACACACACCTCACTCAGGGTATTCCTGACAGAGCCACAGAGCTGAAGTACTCACACAAAAACAAAACTGTGGCGTTGCCTTTACAAAAAACCACACAACCTGAAAAGCCCAAGATAACAAATGGGGTCTGTTTGGGTACAATCCTAAAAGAGAAACCAAGGCCCAGGGCAGACCAATTATTGCTTTGTTCCAGAAGCAATCTTTGAGGATCAAGGAAGAGACAAATCAATGTTTTGGCACATCATCGTGTGAGCACAATCCTTTAGACCTTTTAACAAAAATTCATTCTAAGGTAAGTCTGAAAGAACTGTTCACACACGAGCCTGAATCCTTTTTTAATAGCAGCACCTTGAATGTGACGTGCTGAGATGCTTCAAAGTTTCTGGGTAGAAATTCTTGACAAGATTTTACAAGAGACTGTGAGAATTACACACGCTGTAGCATATAAAGACACAATGTAATTAAATAACAGAATAAAAACGCCTGGGTTGGAAAGATTTTGCAGACTTCCCCCAAGACAGGGTTGGTGGAAGGAAGCAGTGCAGAGGGTGTGTGGCTTTACCCTGCAAGGAAATAACAAATGTGAATAAAGCAGCACTGAAGGGACACGCTCACACAGCTGTAGTTTTTATCCTGAGGTTTCCTGCACCTTCCACTTGATGCTTCCCTCTGTGCCCTGCCAGGATTATCCAGCTCCATCAGCCTGCTGGGATTCTCCTCAACGTGCTAAGCAAGCAAACGTGAACTTAAGGAAGTGGATGAGCTGTAATTTACTCCAACATCAGCAGCCTAAATGAAGCTGCAATAATGCAGTGATCAATCTGAAATCACAATTAAGACAAATGCGGATTCCAATTATCAAATTATCCCAATAGGATTTAGGAACAAACAGAGTGATGAGACTAAGATTTTACCTGTGAAACAAAGATGTGGAGATTTTAGACAAGTCAGGTTCATTCTCTGGCAAGAGCTTTTCAGAAATATTCGAGTGCAGATGTTGGCATCTGCAGCCTGCACACAACATCTGGGGGAGGGTCTCTTCTGGACTTGGGATCAGGGGACACTCAGAGCAGGAAATGAAGTCACTGCTTCACAAGAGCTTTTCAACAGCTTGAGCTCTGCCTCAGCCAAAATCCCAAACCATGCTTTGCTTTCAGAGTGGAATGAGGATTCAAAATCCTCATTTAAATATCAAAAATGACCAAAGATAATGCCTGGAAATAATGACATTTCTCAGTTGGACTCACTGCTACCAGCACTGAATATTAAAAAAAAAAATTAAAGAAAACTTTTAAATCCTGTTCCTTTCAAGATCAGGAAATTTAAGGTCAAGGTTTCCTCTGGACCCTGTTCTCCCCTATAACTTTTGGAAATATTCTTTAATCAGTGGCATCTCTACCCTGAAATATGACATCCTGTGCTTTTACCCCATCCACAAAGGCAACCACCTCAACAGAGGAGCAATCTAGGTCAGAACAAAATCCCAACTCCATGTAGCCAGTTATTGCTACACTTGCCAACACAGTCTACTTGAACTCAGTTTAATTCCTTTTATTATTAGTTATTTTTACACCTTTTGGGGAGCTTCCAAGAGAAATGCCATCCTTGTATTTTACATCATGAATAAAGCACTTATCCAGCAGCACTAACCCCTCGTGAATAAAGCTGAGCTACTCCTCCCATGTGAATTCCACCACCTGCATCCTTTCCCAGCCTGCCCCTAATTCCTGCCTTCTTCAGGATAATGATTAAAACCTATTCTGCTCAGCACTAGCTGGATGCATAGACTCAGATGAGAAATTAGAGAGCTTACAAAAGGTTTGTATTTGGGGTTTGGGGCAGGGGGAGGAAGGGCTTGCTGGATATTGCCTGTTAATAAGGACAGCGTTTCACTTTTGGTACCACCTCTTGGGAAATTTCGCTGAAGAAAATACTTCTTGCTCATTATTCTTTATTTTGTCCCAGCTTCCTGCTAGCTGGAAACTGTTATCTTTCAGGCTGCATTAAAGAACTGTTACTTTTTAGGCAGAAGGGATGAAGTGTATTCCCAGACAAATAACCAGAGAGAACAATGAATAAATAGAGCCTTTCTTTTAAAGCACTCCTGAATTACAAACTCAATTTATGAGTTTGAAAGCTGGGAATTTAGCCTGACTATGCATTGTATTTCATAGTAAATCAGATGTTTATTATGTATTTATTTATGTATTGTTTATTCATTGAGTTATATTACTGTAGCAAATGACCTGCTGCATTCTAGGGACATTTCAAAAAAGCCACCATGAAAAAAACACTCCTGAGTCACAGAGCTTGAAACTTACTTTGAAGCAAGTTATAAAGAAAAGAATATTAGGAAGAAAGAAAGGTCTTACAGGTACATTTCTACTCTACTGAATCCACTGCGGTAAAAACTGGTTTTTATGAAGGCAACACAAGAGATGTCTGGTTCTGTCTGGTCCAGGGCATCAATCTTACAAAATCCTGAAGCCCAGAGTAGTGGCCACCAATAAAAAGTGTTCAGTTTGCTGATCATTTAATGTGCCTCCTCATTTTGGGGAGATTTTCACTTTGTGGATGTTGCACTGGGGCCACACAGCAGCCATCAATCAACACCAGGGCTGATACAAAAGGACAATTTATTTCACTGGTGTTTTACCAAGCCCATCTCTCACTCTGCCACCTGATGAGTTTCTCACATCTGCTTAAATACAGGCTGAAACTGGAACACAAGCCTTCTTCTCTGGGAACATTTATAATGGACTTCAAGATTTAATTCCTTATTCAAAGAGCTGCATTTACACAAATGTGAGGGAAGCAGTGACCACTGATAAAACTGGATCTACCAGATTAAAAAAAATATCACCTCACAGAACCAAACATTTCATACAAAATCCAAAAAATCCCTTCTCCTGCTTCAAAAACAACTTTGCTTTTTTAGACTCAAAATTCACCTTTAAGACCATCTTCATTAGAAGGAAGCCCACAGAGCAAACAAAACCTAGTAAAATCTGGGTAAGAAAAAAGGCAATTTTCCTATCTAGTGCTGAGGTCCATATTCCATAGAACTTCCACAGCACAATCAGATTGAAAAGAAGTTTATGTCCATTTACAAATGTTGGCATGACAGATTTGGTGGAAGTTTTTAAATCTGCCACCAACACAAACAAACACTGTGGAAAGTGACAGCCTGCAAACATTACAGGTCACTTGACACAGAGTGTGAGACTGCAAGATAAAGAACACAAATGGAAAAGAACAAACTGGCATCTGGCTCCAGGCAACTGATTAATCATTATTTGGGAAGAGCCTGATCCTTTTGGGCTTGATGTTGTATCAGGTTGCAGTTGTCCTCATGGTCAATCACAATTTCTGTTTACTTTCAATGGGATAAAGGACAAAAAACCTAAAAAAATATTTCTTCTTTGGAGTTCTAAATATTAAAGAGATATTATTATTATATATATTATTATTATTATATTATATTATTATATATATTATTAGTGGATCTTTAATTGCAAAGAGGAAAAAAGCAAACCCACAACAAACCACCCTTTTTGCTACTTTTTATTCAATTTCTCTGCAGTTGACAGCTCCAGGAGAATTCAAATTTTTCTTTATTCTCCAGGCTCCAATTTGACTCGTGTTCCACTGGCAAAGGAAAATCCTGTGGAAATGCTTTGCTTAATTCCTGTGATGCTCCAGCAAGCTGAAGGACTTTGGAACCTCGACACTAAACTGGCTCATGGCACAAGGAAGGGGCTTTGCTCTACAGACAGCCACGAGCAAGAACAGAAAATAATGCTGAACAGGAAAAAATGAACTGTCAATATTCATAAAATATTTGGAATTGTACTTCAGCCAATCACCAAAATACTAAGAGAAGTTTCTGGGACAGCTGAGAGCAAGCAGGGAGGTATTAGAGCAATGTGAAGTGGACAAATTTAACACTTGTGCACGCTCTAGGGAATGTCTGGAGATGTTCTCTTCCCTCACTCTTCTCTGATTGCTCCTGAATTCTTATCAGTACTTACTGCTTTTTCAAAATAGATCCCACAGGTTAAAACAATTTCAGCATATTTTTCTCTGGGGAAACTTCTTGCAAGCATCAAGATGCTGCAGAAAAATCTTAATTCTTTTTTGTACATTTTTCTGCCCCTTATAGAAAAAAAAAAAAAAATTTGCTTCACTGTCAACTTTTAATGATTGCCCTGGTCCATAAAAACTGATTCATTATATTGCTAAAATATCAAAGTGGATTAAATTTGCCTCAATCTTATCCACAGTTGAGTTGTCAAGTTACACATTGGAGGACAATGACCAAAATGTAGAGTAATTCTGGAAACGTTTCCTGCCATGGAACAAAACACAGATTTAAGCATAACAGAAAAAATAGAAGGACAAGGAAATAATCATAACTGGGAGAAAAAAAAGATATAAGAAAATGTACAACATTTTGCAGGTATTACTCACCAGAAACAGAGTTCTGAAGTTGCTCAGATCGCCAAAGAATTCTTCTATGCTTATTGCTTTGGGATCAAAGGTGAAGTATTCTCCCAAATTTTCATACAATTTTGTCATGTTGTTGTGCATGTTGGACAGTTTCTCATATTGCTCTCGGGCACTCTCAGCAAAGCTGTGAGGTTTTGTTAAGGAAAATGACTCAAAGCAGCACAAATAAAGGAATAAAAATAAAACCATGGTAAATAAAGGAAACAGTCGCCAGGGAAAGAGATCTCAGGACAAAGGTTCCATCTGCAAAATCTGCAGGTGCTGTTCTGCTTCCAAATATGAAATTTTTATGAGTTAATATTAACAGCAATATTATTGATATTATCATTTGATGAATTGAGATTATTAATGGCAGCAAGTTCATACCATAAATGATTCCTTTCCAATGGTGAAGATTTGCCACTGACAGAGAATACTACTTGCTCTATAAAATTTTTAAATATTGTGGCCATTTTTATTTGAAGAGATGAACGATTTTATAAAATGAATTCTATGAAAACACCCAGTGAAATTTAGTTTGCTGTGGGAATCTGATCTCACTGCTCAAGTGAAGTCATGTCCCCCATCTCACATATATTTATATGTAAAATGTGCATAACTATCAATGACACAATCATACAGTATGACATCTAATTTTCTTTGCCTTTTATTACAGAATTCTTTGTGGATTCTTTCCTGCCCAGCCATGCAGTTCATGCCTCAGGCTGCCTGTATTAGGTCCCCTTTTTTGAGGCACAATCTCAACTCGGTAATTTCACCAAACTTAGAAAAATGAAATATCCACCCACTCATCCCAGCAAACTGACAAAAGCTTTGAGAAATTATTAGTGAGAAAAACACCATGGAACAACAGAAGTCTTGTTTTTTTTCCTTAGGAAGTGTGGAAGCCTAGAAATGAGACTGAGATTGACTTTCATCCCAGCAGCCATCATTAAAAGTTTGACATAATGCTTTTAAATAGAAAAATGTGGTGCTTTTTTTCTCCCTATGTGAAAAAAAAAAAAAACATAAAAAAATTTAACAATTATTTTGCAAATAGAGGAAGGGTGCAAGCTACTAAAGGAAATATTGGTTTGCCTCAAAGCAAGTGCATGTTAGTCTGCTCTTTTCTTCTCTGGGGTTGTTTGGAGCCACAAAGTCACAAATCACTGGGAAAAACACATCTGCTCCAGGATTAAACCAGCTCTGCTGACAGAGAATTGGGGCTGATGAAAGCGTTTGCTGCACACATCAAACCCCAGAATAAAAGACACCAGTGACTCCCTGAGCTACAGAAACCCTGCAGCCCAGCTCCTCGTGGCTTTTCCTTGGAACAGCTCCTTCCCTGGGAATTCTGGCTGCTGCCAGGGCAGAGCTCTGCTCCAGCCCCTCTCGTTTAGAGCCTGCCTGGGCCTCCTTTCTCATTACTCCCCACTGCAGAACAACAACCTGCAAACTAAACAGGGACAAGGAGAAATCTGAACTAAAACCCCATTTCTTTCTGACATTAGACTGAACCCAAAGAAGCGAGCCTGGGAATTCAGGTGGATGCTCTATTCATGTTTCACTTGGATGCTGTGAGAACCTGAGAGGTACCAAAAGTGTCACTGCACGAGCCACAGGCAAGCACAGCAAAGCTGAAAATACCTTCCATGGGAAAGAGGCCAAATATTCCACCTGGATTTGCCCACTTTAACTAATGGGAGAGTACATAAATAAACATTTAAAAATTGCTTCTTAAAAGTATGATTGAAAACTTTAGCAATACCAAGTTTTCCAAGAAATCCTCCCAGTTAAAGCCTTGGTGGTGTAAGAGCAAGGCTGGCAGCTCGTAAAGCTCACTGAGAAACAGGAACCAACACAGTGATGGATATTAATTCATATAAAATCAAGATTTTGAAACAATATCTACCCATATAGTGCCACAGCAGCAGCAATACCTAATTCTCAGTTTATTGAACACAAGTTTAACCTGCTTGATTAGAATTCCAAGCTTGGACTGCTGAGTTGCTCATCTCGAGATAAACCTGGTACAGTTCAGTCTTCAGTGACATTTAACTGCACAAAAGGAAATGAAAGTTTAATGGCAAGAATACATTAAATAGGTAATAATGGCACATTACTGAATTATTGAGCACAGTCTAAAAATTTTAGAAAAACATGAATTGCCGTGGAGTCAGCAGATTGCTGTCGTGAGCAGCTCACCAGAAAGAAATACATATAAATGTACAAATTTATTTAGTGGATCCTTTGGAAACAATTTCACATAATACAAACCCAAAAAATGATCAAAAAGTCATAAAAAAAAAGAAAAATATTTTGACAATTCCAGATTTGCAGCCTATTCTTGGAGACAGAGCTCCCAGTTCTCCACTGATGTTGCACACTCACATTAGAAATAACCACAGTAAGCACTAAAAATCCCCAGTACTGCCGCTGAAAGTTGATATTTTAAAGCACCACTCTAAAAATAGACACTGTAATTTCAACATTATTATTTTTTATCTATTAAGTACCAAACTGCAAGTAAGAAATGTCTTTAACAAACGGCCTACAAGACAAAGGGATGTCAGCAAGACGGATGAACGGGGTGAGCAAAGAGAGAATTGAGTATTTCAACCGTGCTTAATTTTGTAGAAGACAAAGCAGAGCTGTAAAGACAATAGTTCCCAGTCACAGACCATGCAATATTAACAAAGTTACTGACAGACTCTGTGTGCTTCATCCAACCTTCCCAGCTGTAAAATATCAGTAGTTTAAAAGATCCCCTGGAAATGTCCTGACTGAGCCTCATTCCAGGGGAGCACAGTCAGATATGCCAACATTACATCATAACAAAAACTAGTGAGGAATCTGAGCTGTGTCAGCTCTGTGTACCAGCAATGCTGAATTCCAGCAGTTTTCCTGAAAAGAGATGGAAGATTTACTGAGAGCTCATTTAAAAACTCTAAACTTGGTTTTGTTCTCGACACTCTAAACCAAACCAAAAACCACAGATTTTTTCACTGGCAAGTTTAAAGGTGCTTGTTCAAGTAGGAGAAAGTACTTTATTTGGAAGCTCGTTTTTACCACATTTTCTTGTAAAACACTGCAGAGCAGGATTCTGGCTTGAGGAACCACCAGGCTAAAAATCTGCTTTAACTTGTTAGAAGAGAATATTTGAGTCACGGTGTCATCTTTAATGAAGGCTGCACAAGAGCTCTTAGTTTCTAATCTCCCAGCTCATTCATAATAGAGCATTCTCTGAACTGAACTGTGGCAATGCAAACAGGACTTATTAACTGAAGACAGAAATTCAGCTTTAATAGCAGTAAGTCATTTCCACTGATAGCTCTATTTTCACCTGCTATCAGGATGTAAACACATGCTAACAATTTTATCACTCACACTCCATCCATAATGCATCTCTGTGCCTGCACAGCAGCCAAGACTTCTGGAGCATACACAGATAATTATGAATCCCAATTATATCCCTAATCTTTTTTTCCCCATTGGAAGCCTATGCAAAAACAAAACAAAACAAAAAAAAATTGCAGAAATCTTCATTGCAAGACACTTCACTCTACCCAAATTAGAACCCAAAGAAACCAAGAGCCATAGCAGGAGCCCAACTTTATCTGTGTACACAAAATCATGTGCTTCTGAAAAGCTTAAAGATTCCCTAATAAAACACCCATAAAAAGCTCAGTGTGAGAATTTCCTTCTCATTACAAAGCAAATTACCTCATCAGTCAGCATCTGACAGAAGAGCTCAGGAAAAAACCCAAACAAACCAAACCACAAAAGATCAGTGGATTCTCAGCTACCTCTGAGCAAGGAGGGCTCTTCCTCTCCCTTTGTTTCATTAGTACATGAAATTATCATTAATTACCAGAATTATGCAACACAATTGCATTTGTTGCAAAAAGTCAGGATTTCAGTGGGTTTTGTGCTCATGGAAATGAAGCACAGGAAGGTCACACCCACGGAAGAACAACCCTGGCTGTGACCTGCTCCTTCTCCCAAAGTCTCAGAACACCACTTAATTCGTCTTAATTAAGATGAAGCTTTCTGACTTATACCCAAATGGCCATAAAACCTTCATCTTGGTAAACACTAAAAAAATCTGTCAGTGTTTACATCCTCTAAGCAATCATATCAGTTCCTAACTCTGCTGCATTCAAACTTCTCCAGGATGAAAAGCCAATTTCCACTGATTCCACCACATTGTTATGCACAGGAGAAAGCCTTTGTCAACATCATTTCAACATCACTTTTTTATTTATACTTCTGTTAACGAGGACACAAAGATCACTGCTCAATTCTCTAAAAGTCCCAGAGGAAGTCTCTGGGCAAAAACTGATAAATGGGGGCCTACTTTATAAAATATTCAGCCCAAGGAGCAAAGCTCCACAGGCTGTGTCTTGAACTGATTTATACCGGGAAAGATGGCTCAAAGATTTAGGTGGCAAATTAGGATTTTCCTGTGGTAGCAAAAAGAAAACCTTAAAAACTTTAAAAACAAGAGCACTTGGCTCTCCAAAGAGAACACAAAGAGCAAAATTTCTGAAGCCACAGGCTAGAGAGAAAGCAAGATCTTATCTAGCTTAAAAAAGCACTCCAAAATTAGAGCTGGGCATTAACCTAAATTAACCTGAACCACTTGTGGGTTTTAGTATTCAGAGAAAGTTGCTGAACCCAGAAATTGTTTTCCCCATTACCCTAACAGAGAAATAATCCCTGAATTCCATGTTCCCATTTTAAAGAGAGTTTTGAGGAGCTCTGCAACTGCTGGAGGCAAAGCAAACCTTTCATCCTTTATCTCCACTGAAGACATCACCAGGATTCTGAAAGTGCCTTCATATTGCCTGACAACAACAATCATCTACATCTTAATTCTCATTTCTGATATTCTGATGTTTAAATTATTTGAAACAGTCTGAAGAGTGGTATTGGTAGCCTTTTTTCAAATATCTTATTTATTTTGTGGTGGCAAACAATTAATCACTATTCCTGCATTAATTAGAAGGCAGCACGGAGAACATGATAGTCAACAATATATCAAACAGAAAATGTTGCCAGAGTAATGGATTTGTAGCATCCCTTCCCTGGAGAACAATTAGATAAAAATCTCTTTAGATGGAGAAAAACAAGAAAGAAAACAACAG